AGCAGGCTCCAGGCTCTGAGCTGTCAGCACAGAGCCCTGTGGGGCTTGAACTCACGAGCCATGAGTGACCTGAGCTGAAGTCGGATGCTTAATCAACTGAAACACCCAGGCGCCCCTAAAATGTATTGCTTAATAAGGGGTGAAAATAGAAGAAACATCATTATTAACAAAGGTTTAAAAACACCAGAGTAATAATAAGACCAAAGTGAGGCACCTGGGTGGGTCAATCAGTTAAGCATCTGGCTCTCGGGTTTTGGCTTAGGTTATGATCTCACGGTTTGTGGGTTCGAGCCTCACACTGGGCTCTGCGCTGATAGCGTGGAGCCTGCTTGAGGTTTTCTCTCCCTCTCTCTCTTTACCCGTCCCTGGCTCTCTCTCAAAATAAATAAACTTAGGGGCGCCTGGGTGGCGCAGTCGGTTAAGCGTTCGACTTCAGCCAGGTCACGATCTCGCGGTCCGTGAGTTCGAGCCCCGCGTCGGGCTCTGGGCTGATGGCTCAGAGCCTGGAGCCTGTTTCCGATTCTGTGTCTCCCTCTCTCTCTGCCCCTCCCCCGTTCATGCTCTGTCTCTCTCTGTCCCACAAATAAATAAACGTTGAAAAAAAAAAATTAAAAAAAAAAAAAAAATAAATAAATAAATAAATAAACTTAAAAAGAAAAAACACCCAAAGCAATATGAGAAGTTCAATACATATTTTCTTTTAATAAAGTATTTTTCTCACCAGGCAGTCACTTACTCACATAAGCATGTTTAACATCAATGACTATACCTTCTCTTTCCATTTAAACTCACTAAAATATTTCTATTTCTCAAGATAACTTCTGAAATATACTAGTTTATTAATGTGTTACTTTAGTATCTTTCATGTGTACACGTTAAATACACAATAAACACAAAGAGCTTAATATAAAATTAATATTCAAGGGGCGACTGGGTGGCTCAGCCAGTTGAGCACCCAACTCCTGATTTCTGCTCAGGTCGTGATCTCATGGTTTGTGGGATAGAGCCCTGCGTCAGGCTCTGCTCTGACAGCGAGGAACCTGCTTGGGATTTTCCCTCCCCCTCTCCCTCTACCCCTCCTACACTTCCATGGTCTCATTCTCTCTCTCAAATAAATAAACATTAAAAAAAATTTTTTTGTTTTCCATTAAAAACACCAGGGCACCTGGGTGGCTCAGTCAGTTAAGCATCTGACTTCAGCTCAGATCATGATCTCATGGTCCATGGGTTTGAGCCTCAAGTCAAGCTCTGTGCTGACAGCTCAGAGCCTGGAGCCTGCTTCTAATTCTGTGTCTCCCTCTCTCTCTCTCTCTGCTCTCCCCTGCTCATGCACACTTTCTCTAAAATAAACATTAAAAAAAAATTTTAAGTAAAATTAATATTCAAGGAAAGGGCACCAGCACACATATCTTTACAATTAATCTGTGCTTTGTATCCAATTTTAAAGGGAAACATCTATTTTCAAATGGGCACAATAGTCCTGATCAGGGTTGAAGTGAATCTTCACAGTGACAATGTTAGCTAGGTTTTAGTTTTGTTTGCTTTCATCAACTTTTTGATAGAATTATAAATGTGTACCAATGTCTTGATGCCTGGTCTATAAAATTAAGATAATAAAAAGCACCTATCTGATATAGTTGTGGTATGACTGGAGTTACTACAGGTATTTAATATAGTGTTTGGTACTTAGCAAGTGTGCAATAAAGCATTAGCTGTAATTAGTGCATTTCTTTTACTTTTTTTTAATGCTTATTTATTTTTGAGAGAGAGAGAGAGAGAGAGAGAGAGAGGAAATCTGAAGTAGGCTCCAGGCTCTGGGCCGTCAGCAGAGAGCCCGACGCAGGACTTGAACCCACAAGCTGTAAGATCAGGACCTGAGCTGAAGTCCGACACAGGTGCGTGCCCCAGGCATTTCTTTTACTAAGGAAAACTATTACAGCATGAAACTCAAAGTCTATACTTTAACACAGGCCACTGCTTAAGGTGAACAAATTTAAATTTTGGAGTAGGAGAGAGGAGGAAAAGAGTATGAAGGATTGGAAGTAGAGAGCACAGACCAAGAAATAGGAGGTAACTACTTTAAGGATCTAAAGCCACAGGTAGTTTGAATTTTGATTTGGTAAAAACTTGATCACAAAATAAATGATTCCTTCATTTATATGGGTTAAAAGTTTGAGGGGCGCCTGGGTGGCGCAGTCGGTTAAGCGTCCAACTTCAGCCAGGTCACGATCTTGCGGTC